GTCGTACCTCGTACCTCGGCACGAGTGCCGGTCACGGCCCACGGTCACAGTGGGCACCAGTCCTTCGGAGGCCAAGTGTGAAGGCCTGTCCACGAACCCACTCGTATCATGCGTGGCCTGTCCCAAAGTTACGGTCGTTCCGGCGAGGTCCCACAGTCTTTGCTGGTCGCGCCAATTCCACACTCTTGCTAAAGCAATCTAAGCAAGGGCCCGCTTCCATCGGGCCGCAATGTTCCTCAGCTCAGCTCGGAGCCCATAGGCATGGTTTTCGTCCCAAAGCATACTTTTGCACGGCCAACTCCACTGAGCTCGAAGCGCAGCAGTGGCCGCAATTCTCCGCTTCCTCAATTCTGCGATTATTACAGCAAGGCGTATCAATTCACGCCGCCCCACAGAGGGTTCTAGCACCACCTTCCCCTCATGACGGCCCAAGCCATGCAGCTGACAGTGGCTTCCTTGCACCCTCAAACTGCAGGAACCATCTTGAAGTTGGCGTTCCGTCAAACTTCGGGACACAATGAAACCGGTGCCACCAGAGCTAGGGGCCATGGCACCGTGTGGAAGCTCGGCCCTCGGTCAGAGGTTACCAGCTTAGCCACGACAAAACTCTTGAGCCAAAATGCCTACGGCCAGGAGTCGCACCCGTTCAACCCACCCATGTCGACAGATTGACTCCGCTGCTCGGATGTGGGCACCTCGTCAGAGTCCAAAGGTAGATGAGCTGGCAGCCAGTCATGTTCAGCCACTGCCTTAGAACGCGGAGTCTGCTCAGGTGATCCGACATGATCCGACGGGATGATCTGCACACCGTGCCTCCAGAACAGACTCATCCTGCGTGAACAAGATAAGTTCGCATGCCTGATCAGGAAGCTCGGCAGGTTTCTGGAAGTCAGACGTGTCTGCCACATTCAGAGGCCTCTTCAGGCTTGGTCAGAACACCGGGAGCTCTTCTGACCTGCACCATGGCCGAGAATCGATTGACACAAAGCTACGCTTGAGTGGCCTCACCAATGAAGATTGGGCTGCCATCCAACAAGATCTCCAGGTCCCTGGCAAAAGGCAATGGTCATTGCACTTGCAGCAAAGCCTGGGCGGTGGCACTGGTGGGCATGCCAACCTTACTCCCCTGCTTGAGTGCAGACGAGACTTGTTGTAGTTCCAGACCTTGCGGACGGATGCCTACTGGACTGTTTTGCGATGAGCCCGATCAATGACAAGAGAATGAGTCTCCGAGACCTGGGCTCTTATCATACTGATCTCGGTCTGGCAATCCAAGTCGACGGTGACCTTTAGGAATGGTATGCCACAACACGCACCAGCATTCGACTGCATGCTTGCCGACCACTGAGCACTCTGCAGTGTGCACACGGCCATTGAAGAAGGGTGCGAGCCTGCAGAGACGACAGCCACTGGCATAACCGAATCATCATGCGCAGGAGGTGCGAGCTCGTGCCGTGACCAGGCATGCGGCCAGACGTGAAGATCATCCCGAGTCAGGTTGACCTGCGGGCGGCTCAGATACGAACAAGACTCAGAGCATCTCAACTTGTCGCCAAGGCCGCCTCAACCTCGATCAACCTCGATATCTCGAGGCTAGAGCCAGGCCTGGTCAAAAAGCTTCTCCGGTGTTCGCGGATCATGATCGTACTCGTCCAAGACCTGAGCCAACCAGGCTTATTTTCCTTGACATACGGAAGTGGCTGACCTCTTCTAGGAGGCACCGAATTACTGTACAGGGGCTTTCCAACATTCCGGGTGCGTGCCAGGCCATTGCAAATACAAACACTGGCGAATAAGGAGTTCACATTGATGGAGTGAGGGTCCGCCGTTACCTGCACAGGGCATGTGCACTTTCCGGGCTGCTGGTTCAACACTGGTAGTGGAACTGGACTGCCTGCCGGTTTCGATCTTTCAAGACCACGGGAAATCCACGTCCATCAAAGATTTCGATCTCAGGAATCATGCCAGCAAATTCAATGGATCACCATATACCACCACTGAGGACGCGACTCCTGCGAGACCAACGAAGTCTTTGTCACCCCATGTAGAGACGCAGTTGAAAATTAGTGTCCTGCATTTTTCGGAAATAAGTGGTTACGCCTGGCATTGCGAATGCCAGTTCAGTTGCAAGCCTCCCTCGAGGAAGAGTCGGGATCACTACCTCGCTGCCGACTCTCATGCGAACATCTCTCCAAGCCGTCTGGGATCCAAGTTCACAGCACTTTCCTGTAGCTGACTAGCAATCATGGACGAGCCTGAGCACGCGAATGTTGGCAGATCGTGAATCCGCTGCAGAACAGAACAAGCGGCTGCTAGGCCCGCAAGCCTAACGTCACACGCGGTTCTGCTGAGACTTGACCTTGAATGCAATCTTGCCAAATGTCTTTGGGAGAGAAATAACAGGGATCCGGCTGCTCCCGGCTGTGCTGCAAGATGACTTTAAAGTTTCATGCAGAAAGCATTTGCTGCTTGTCACTTCCCACCACCGAGTCCCAGTGTCTGTCAGATTTGACGTCGCAACCGAGAGGTCTGTGGTAACAGTGGTCCAAGATAGCCACGCAAAATCATCTAGACATGAGACTCGGACTCTCCAGCACATCAGTATCATCGAAGCTGCGCACAGGGATGTCGAGGCCCATCGCAGCTGCCTGCCCCGGAGGAGAAGTCACTGAATGAAGAAGCAAGGACTCAGCCGTGCAGCAGGACAGACACGACCACTATCTATGCCCAAAGCATAGATCCTGGCTTCTGCCTCCGCCAACAGCTCGTGCTTTTCTCCGAATTGGGCCTGAGCTGCTGGCCCTGGAGGCCCGGAGGATCCCGGAGGTGTCGTGCCGAGAGGCTGTGGCCAAGTGCTCGTCATGCTCGTCCGGAAGCGGAGAGGGAGCTGGGGCATGGGGCCTTGGCGGGCTAACCGAAGACCGAAGCAGTCCAAGACGCACATGCACGCGAGACGCTCTTGGGATGCACGCTCTGTTGGATGTTGCGGGTCCTCCGCCGGCTATGAAAGCGAAATTTTCAGGGTTCTGGCATCACTGTGACTTTCTGTCGGCAGGTGTTGGCACCGATTTAAGCACACCGGATTGTAAGCACGTCCCCAAGGGTAACATCCACACAAAAGCAGCCAAGCGGAGCACCAAGCAACGACGCAGGGGGACCAGGAGGTGCTACAGTAGGAGGCCAAGCTTCGGTGCTTGCCTACACTATGCATCCTCATATTAACTTCGAGGCTTCAAGCGCACGAGACCTAGTGACTGCAAATCATAAAAATAACCGAGCTTTGCTCTGGAAAAGCCGCATGTGGCCGTCAACGGGCACAGGGTCAAACAAGCATGACTCTGCAGCAGTCCGTTTTTGGAGCAGCAGAGAAAGGCAAGCTTGTGCGAAATAGAAAGACTGGAGCCCCGGCGACGAAAGCAACTTGCACTTGCTGTGCGTATCAGCGCTGACAACCCTGCACGACTATGCGCCGTCACCATCGCCGCAAACATGCACGAACTTGGAAAGCTAATTCACAGCCGTGTTTTCCGAATGCTCTTTGTATTGAACATGCTTGGCGGCTTCATTGTGTGTCCCCCCGGCTCGAGGCTACTAGTGACGTCTACATATCGAGCAGGCCTGCACTTGCTGCGAACTTGCTGAAAAGAACCTGGCAACTTGTGCACAACTTGTCAAAGCTGCAATGCTTAAACTGCTAACTTCTCCTTGCTCACGGTGGCTGCAAATTCTCACTGCCTTCGGCTTTGCGACGATCGGAAGAGTTCCAGAGCCTGCAAAGACTGCCTGCGGAGCTGCGGAGCAAGGTCGAACGCTAAGCTGACCATGCACGGTCCCACTCTGAGGCTTCAGCAGCAGCCCCTGCTGTGGGTCTTCTTGTCGACTTGGTGATAGCAACGCAAGTTATTTCTCGGATTCAGCTGTGCATGTCAATGTTGACCCTTGGCACATGACGAGCGGTGACCTACAACACACGACAGACAACTTGACAAGGTGAGAATAACTTCAGAGCCACACGGCTCTTGGCTTGCAGAACGAACATGCTGCACTGAGCAGCAGTTTGGCGATCGATCAGGAGGTCTCTTGAACCACCATTCTCGGAGTAAAAGCAGAACCATGCGGAACCTGCGGAACGAGGGTACTTCTCAGGACCTTCAGCATTAGTTCATTTCGCTTGTAGCCCCAAGGCCCCTGCGGTAAGTAGTTCGCATTCGGGCGCTGTACATGCGAGTGCATCTATGATCCTATACAAAGCCTGCAACCAATCTATGGAGGTCAACACGGCTTCTTCAACGACGGTACGAAAGACAGAAAAAATTCACGCCCGCCTTATCTGCATGTGACCGAACGTGAAACAAATTTGGTGTCATGCTGCGCTTGGCCAGCGTGACGGCGACGCGCTGTGATTTCCACGCATTTTTAATTAGGCTGTGGCCTCATTGGACGCTGGGTGCTCCTCCGAACTATGTCGGAGATCGGCAGTTGCAGCGGAAGTCGACGCATCCGGTGCTCGTTCCAACACAGAAACTATGTTCGTGCGGATGGTCTGTTTCATCCAGTAAATTCAGTAAATGAGGTTTCATCGGCTTCGTAAAGCAATCCGCTAATTGCAGGTGTGTGGCTATCCACCTGAGTACGTCACCATAAGGTGCACATGCTTCGTGATTAAGCACATCGTCCTCCCGCAATGTCTGTCGCAGTCCGGCGAGTTCTATGCTCAACCGTTTATCTTCGACCTGCTTCGGGATGGGTGATCGTAGATGGTCGGTCAAGCTTCGACAGTCACTATACGGAACATGCAACATACTTCGCCTAGCCACTTCTTCCCATTGGCCTCGCGCTGGAAGTTCTCCATACTCTCAAGCACGCTCGCTCGGAGCCTATCTCCATGCTCAATGCCATGCTGCAAGGAATATGCCTCGCATTGAAATGTCGGGCGGCAGACGTGCTTCAGGGTTGAGGAACTAAACGACATAAGATGCATATCGTGGGTATTAATTGGAATTCCCGTTGACTGCGTCTTTACGCGACGTCAACTAATGGATGCGACCACGCTGGGATTTATGCCCTGCTTCCCCTGCAAATGACACGTCAAAAATGTGACGATCGCCAGCTCTCCCGTGCCCCAAGGCAGTCGAACTTTGTAGACAAGACTTCTACCTGCGTCATTGAGGGCGAGTGCTGTGCTACAACTCGGTTGGCAGGTTGGCATCCCTCAACGTTTCGATATTCGCTTTGGTTACCTGCTGTTGCAGTGAGTTCACGCAGTATGCGAGATCGGGTCGTGTAGCTCTCGCAACCCAAGCAAGGGAACCAACTACAGACCTCAAAGCTGTCCGCTGGGCAGCCGTGACCAGAGTCGTCCCGGCCTGTCTCCCTGCGGGACGTCTATCGGGCGAATAAACCTGTTATTGTCCCGGAATTGACGTCTGATTATATAGTGCCGTCCTGATGTTATGTTGTATGTGTTCACGGCCGCAAAAAATGAATGTGTCTTGCTCAATGCGACCGATCTTGAAGCGGCCGAGTAGACGTTGGGTGGCATTTTCGCTTTTTCCTCGTGCAGCCCACAAGAGGTCATGTACATGGACGCAAACTCCGGCAAGCAATGATCTGGTCTCCTGAATATTATCTTCAGGGCTGGTCTCCCAAATCGTTGTCTTGGTAGTCGTGCTGGGGTCCAATGGGTAGCCTCGGAACCGATATGCGATAATGACTGGAAACTATTCCCTCAACACTGGACTGTGAACCTTCAGTCTCCAGCAAAACCTTAATGCCGCCTCTTTTGCCCAACTCGGGACAGTGCATGGTACGAAATACCATTGACAGTGCACAATCGAGCGACATTGTCTCTACAACAGTGCGGATACCGGGTGTGCCCACCGGGTTGCTCCGAACGTCGACTACGTCCTTGATTCTATGATCAAGTAGCTTTGGTACGAAAGATTCAGCTGACATGTTCGAATGTCCAAGGGTATATATCCCGCTGCCTTTCTTACCCTCTGTCCCATCCGACATGCCGCGTGCCCGCAGTGCACCTGTTGTTGATCCTTGAAACCCGGAAATATTGTACATCACGTGGGTAGGAAAATTAAGTCTCGACAGCAGGACTATATCTTTTGAGCGTTCAGTGTGTTCATATCACTCAGTGTGAATCTTGAGATACTAAACGTCTCGTGCACCTGCGAATGGCATAACCAGGTGGATCTATTTTGGGTTAAACTTAAACTTGAGCACGTGGTTCTAGCAACATGGTGTCGTACACCGTGCTGCGCATCTTTGCTCCTTAGACTTCAACCGCGGTGGTCCCCTGATAATCTTCGACCCACAGTCCACCTTGTTTAAAATCTCCTGCGCTTATAGCGTAGTTGAATGTGCCCGGCTTGTTGGATGTATCCTTATGCGGCCCCATGCCTTGATTGGTAACTTGGACACTGTTACACTGAGCATCGTGACAACCAGCATCGTCACCGCGGCTGTTCAAAAATTCGTTAGTATAATGAGTAAGCATTGGACGGGCCCACGCCTCGTTACTGACTCTACTGGCTCCGACCTGGCCCCTACGACGATCGATATACGCCAAGGTCGGTTGCTAAGATGCCCAGGTTTTCTCTGTCAAAGAGAGGTCTTTCATAAACGCCATGTCGGCATTTTGCATACACTCGTAACAGTTGAAGACATATGCCTGTGGCTGAAAACTCGATCCTGGAGAAGTCCTTCTGCCATTTCTTCTACTGGGTCGCTCGGTACGTAACCTTCAAACATATTGCTGTCTAGAGCAGTCAAACCCTCCTGCGATTGCAGGGGTGACCTCGATCTAGCAGGTCCCAAAGCTTTCAAACTCATGAGCAATAGATCCGGAAGCCCTGGGTTGTTGCCCTAACACCTGCCGCGCTGGGCTGAAACTTGGTGTGTCTCCGTCTCCTCAATATTCGAGGGTTGAGAATCTTGCGCATCAGTGCTTTAATAACGCCACCGGCCATGTCGTTCCACCTTTCCTATTGTTTGCGTGACTCCAGCAGTGCGTTGTGACGGCGTATGCCATGTTGAGCTAGGTACTGAGCGAACTCGCCCTTGAAATGGGTGCCACGATCATGCAGTAACTATGTTGCTGGGGCGCCCTGCCCGGGAGATCCACCTCTCCGTTAGCACTTTGAGGCACTGGCGGGCGTTAGGATTACCAGCGCCGGTGTTAACCAGCAATAATTACTACCTGCTGGAAGCTCGTATCTACGTCAACTACGTGGACGGCCGTGTAGCGGTTGCCGGAATGCGCTTCCGGGCAGTGTGCGCCGACAGTAGGATAAATTCTCGTGGATACGGGGAATCCCTTGAAACTGAGTGGTGTCTATAGGCACTGGAGTGGTGTCCAGGCAAATCCTGCATTTGTGGAGCTGATCAGCTTTGATGAATTCCTTAGAAGCCCCTGCTGGTCTAAGAACCTGTACTAAAACTGGTCCGGGTATATGTCCGCAGGCCTGATAGCCACTCGCGTGCGCTGCGGCAGGGCCCTCCATGCCAGTGGCTGGCGTTCCAAAATCAGTTGCTCAGGGGTAAAGGCCCAACTTTCGTCGGCATTGGCCTCCGGTTCCCGAGTCATCTCAACATCTGAGATTAACTCTTCTTCCTCAGGATCGGTGACCTGTCACCTACAAAGCATGTTCTTGTAAAGGGCTCGAGGTACGTGCTCTCTGAAACATCATTACAAACTCGTCAGAAATCAGCACCACTGGTATCGTGAAAAAATATCGCGGGCTCCGGCCGTAACTTTCAGTCCACGCGTGCATCGCAGCTAGTGCGTCACCAATCTTCGGGCCTCCCGGCTGTGCATCCGTAACACCCTCTGACATGAGACTTCCCAGCTCGTGTTGGCTGAGCCTTGGTCATGGTCCTCGAGAGCTTCTTGCGCTATCAGATCGCCCCTCCTTATCGAGGGCTCTGTAACAAAGTGTCCTTCAACTGTCTCGTGAAACTGTTCAAGCGCTGGAACCGCTACCTCTACAGGTAAGTCTTCGCTTGAACGACTCACGATGGAGCGTATGAGGTCAAAATCAATTGTGTTCGCCTCCTTCACCGCTGATGCTATGTCAGACAGGCCTTTCTTTCATCCTGCGATTGTTCGTCTAAGAGTATCCCGCAGAGCTTACACTTCAGCCAGCTCGTCTTCCTGCTGGATCCAGTTCTCTCGATAGCGGTGTGCATACATGTGGCAGGGTCAACTACCTGTTTTTCTTTCTTAATCTCAGTAACCGTACCACACTTCTTGCGTGTCCGCATATCGATGTACGCGTTACAACCAGACTTGCTGAACTCCCTACAACCACCCCGGCACGGCGCGGGGAAGCGAGAAATCGCACCAGACGACGCTGATGGCTGTTCGGGTTCAGGCGGTGGCATGTGGCTGAGGCTGAGGGGACGTTCCCTTATACGAGTAACCTCCTCAATTGGGTCCGAATCCTCAGCAACGAAATGTTCTTGAACCCAGTTCAAAAAGTCTCCGAGAGCCTTCGACGGGCACTTCTCTTTGGGAACATACCTCGGGTGAGTATACAATACCCTCTCGGAGGTTAATCCGCCTTGTGTTGGCCAAAAACTAAATATCGTCTGACTCCGGGGGACTATCACGCATTATATGGGAGTTTCCGAAACAGGGGGTACCTTATTTTAAGGTCCTTATAATAAGGATCCGACTATTTAGGGTGCTATATTTGGGTCCCCTATTTTCGGAAACCCCCATATAGCGGATGCTGCGGACCTGCGAAGCTGCGGGACATAGCTCCCCGACCTTTGCCCGAGCTAAAGGCACTCTTAGCCGCCGGTGACTTCAGGGCGAGGAAACCTTGCGAATCCGAATGGGTGTCGCGAAAGGAATAACCTACCTCATCATCGGGGGCCATATACTCCTGTGAGGCTTTGGCCATGCCGGGGTGGCTGCTGGCTTTGGGGCAGGAGCCGAAGCTTTCGGCGCGTTACCCTGAAATCTGCATTCCGCGTCTCCGTTCGTGTACGCATTAAGCTGCATCGCTTCTTCTTCGATTCAGATGTCGCCTTCGTCATCTAATCCCGACGGCGTGATGCGTCGTGCTCGTCGTCTGGTGGTGCATCTTGCTCGTCCTCTTCGCCGTAGCCATAGCCAATGTAGCCGTACTGGGGGGCTGAGTTCTGATGTCCTGCCACGCATGGCCTACACCCTGCTCCGTGGTGTTGCGACTTCTCTGTGAGAAGTCTCTCTTTCATGTGCACCACGGGATGGTGTTGCACAAGCACCCTTGCGTACTCGTCGACGGTATGCGGGTTAAACCAGACAGTTCAAGGAGCAAGTTGGCTCGCATGACATCCAACAATCAAATGTCAGGGTCCAGCTCTTGCAGCGTGGGCCACCAACGCTTTCTGCGTGCTACGTACGAAAGCATTGGTTCTCCCTGCTTTTTCGCTAGGGGCCCTGCAATGAACTGCCCTTGCTTAACTATTCAAAAACCTCCTCCGACTGGAGGGGAAAGGCTTGTTGACGGATTTGCTCTACCAAATGGTCTATGCCATCCGGCTGTCTCTGGCTATGCATGGTGGCTATGCCATGCTAAAAGCGTCGCCTCTGAGGCCTTCAAGTATCTTGCTTACGCACTCCGACATGTCTATGTCAGAGTCGTTCACATCCACCAGGGTGAGCACGGGCTCCGTTTTCGCCCGGCCATCTTCTTCCAGTTTGCCATCTATCAGGCTCGGGTGACTAGGCACAGACTCTGCGTCTTCGTCTTCACGGGTAGATGCAGGGCTTGCCCTTCTGGCACTGGACTGGATGCGCTAGCGGGTACGCCGCTCGACTCTCCCTTGTCTGCAACATTCTTCTCTGACCTTAGTCGGAAACCTTGGAACTTGGAACGCCTTGCTGGTCCACTTCCTTAGTCACTGGCTCCTAGCAAATGCTGCACCACGCATAACCTTCAACACTTCTCGTCGTTGCTTTGCCTTATGCTGCAACACGCGTATCCGTGTGCGTGTGCGAAACTCCCACTCGTGCTATGTTGAAGCAGTCCCCGTGTATACATATATATATATATAAACGAGCCTGGCTACGTCTCTGTGGGTGCGGCATTATGACCCCACTGGGTGGCCTGGAATTTCAGCCCTGCAACGCTCATGGCTCTACGCAAGCTACCTGTGGAGATCTATAGGGCTGTGCTCTACAGACTCCTGGTGAAACACTAGCGCTGCGCTACCAATTTGGAACGAATGTCGGCTTCCGGAGTTACAGTACGGAAGACAACAGCTTTTTTTGCTTGTAAGCCCAAGGCGCCTGCCATAAGTAGGTCACATTCAGGCGCTATGCTAGTGCATCTATGATCCTATACAAGCACTGCAATCAAACTTCTTAATCTATGGAGGTCAACACGGCTTCTTCAACTACGATACAAAAAAGACAAGGGAAATTCACACGATTACTATGTAGTACATTCGGCGAGTGCAAGAATAGCAGAACACACGCTTTCCGGAGTGAGCGGTGCAAGTGTAATCACGTTTTCAATTCCTTCGATCTGTATTGGACAACTACCTGGAAGCGTTGGAAGCTACGGGAGGCAGCTGGACAAAGGCCAGCAGTATCATGCCAAAACCCACGTTCTGGTCATTAAGCCTTGGTTCTCGACCGCCATCTTCCGCCCAGAGCTCGGATCAATCTTTCCTACAAAATACCCAAACCCTGTTGGGGAGAGGTTTGACACAAAAAGTGTTGACTGCAGCATTGGCAGAGCTGCTTGTGCGCCTTGACAAAGCTTCGCAGAGCTTCGCAAACAAGCGTGTGGCTGAGATTTGCGATCATGACATGTAACAAAGCATCTCGTGTCTAAGAAACTTTTAGGCACGGATACCTGCATTAAGTGATGGCAGCACTTCGACTGCGCTACGTAGTTTCGGTGAGCAACAGCAAGGCGAAGTGTCAGACAGTGTGACAGCCACCCCACACACACAGAGCCCTGCCAATTTCCGGGTGCTCGAGGCTGAAATCTCTGTTTCCTGAAGCAAGACAGTGATTGCTGTCATCGATTGATGTGGATTTTAGCATTTGGCGACCGTGAATATCTGCTGTTGCCAGATTCAATCTCTATCATTTCTTCTAAGTTGATCAGCTTGCGTACCACCGTGAGATCCTGGAAGGAGAGAGCAACATCAGTGCCGAGTGGTTGAACGTCTTCGTTCGCCGAGGGCAAGCTCTCACAAATCTCGATCCCAGCATCTACTAGCTGTTCTAGATGTCCACCTGTTGAAGACCACCGCATGGATATTGAGACATGAAAGCACATTGGACCCAAGCTGGGAGGTGGACAGTTCGGAATTCCTCCTCTCCTCAAACGGAGTCGTACCTCACCACGAAGCACCCAGCAAGTCTGACTTCGCAGACCAGTCTCGCTGTGCATGCGGCAGAGGTCCGAGTTCGTCGACCTCGATCTGCTGACGCAGCCGTATCATGTAAACCGTAGTTCGGACCCTCAGCTGGCTCAGCTGCATGCTGCGGCCACACTGGCTGTGCGGGCTGCGCCTGCGGTGGTCGCCGCAGGGTGGGACAGCATTGTAGGGCAAGCTGTCTCGGGCCTTGCTCGATGTTGATGGCTGCGAGTTGTCCTCCTTTGCAGCCGCAGAAAAAACTGTGCAGGGTTTAACTCATTCTTCGGAATTGGTAAGGAGCGTCTTTCCGTGCAGCACCGAGATCTTCAACAAAGCAAGCGGCGGCTGGAATTCAACTGAACACGTTCGTCGATTTTGTCTTCATGCTGTGGGGATCTCTTGGGTCTAGTCACAGTCGCCTGATCGCAACGCATGTGCTCGAGCATTCTGATTGCTGTCTACGACTCAAGCAATTGATTTGCTCCACCGCCCACTGGCATCGAAACGAAAAGGATCGTGGGGGGGGTACAGCATGTTGCAGGGCACGATGAATGTGCAACAAGGCCCAGGACGGTCTTCTTCAGACAGATGAGCAACGGCTTCTCGACCCCACAACCCCGCTTAACCCCCGCTCCCTAAAAAAACATACATTGAGAACGCTGCTCCGAACGTGGCAAAAGCATGTCTCAAGCCTCCGGAAAGATCATGTCGAAAGTGTCTTTCGAAGTCTGAGGAAATAGGGTAAATAGGGTTTAGCTCCGCGGACATGGCATTGCCTCCAGGTCTTCCGTTTTGGTGACAGATAAGTACAGGTTGCAGCACAGATAGCATCGCTGCAGCACGGCCGAACAACTGCGCAGGTCCAATTCGAAGACGTGTTGCCCAAACCACAAACCCCCCGCAAAGCCTTCTGAAGAGTCAGCGACTTCGGGCCGCGTGACAGGCCGTAGACATCGCTCCGACGAGATCTTATCATAGTAAGCCGATGGCGTCCTCTAGGGAGTCCAGCATTCGAAGCAATGCCTTCTGCTTTCTTTGGTCCAGGCGGCTGACCTGGGGAATGTTAAAGCAGGATGCATGCAGGTCGTCGGAGGTAGCAGTGGCACGCGATCGAAGATCTCGGCAACGGTGCCATGGTCATCCCTGCTCTGCAGGTGTAACGTGTGAATTGACTTCTGCATTCGATTCTCGCTGCCCCTGCCCAACTCAACAAGCTGCCTCGCTGGCATTGGCGCTGCGGGTGCCTGCAATTTGCGAGTAAAGCTGGCGCAGCGACTTTTGTTGGCAAAGTGAATCCTAAAATGTCCTAAACAACTGCAGCGAGCCCAGGAGATTGTCGATGAGATTACGCGATGTCTTCAACAAAGCCCGGACATGCAGTCAAATTGCCTGAGCAGGCAATGGATCCCTTGCACCTGAGTCGACACGTTGTGAGGAAGCAGAATGGCTACCTTGACATGCCTGGTGCTCCCAGTCCAGTGGGATATCTTCATCTGGGCTAATTGTCTGAAGTTCTTCAACTTCTGGTCCATACGTCATAATTAGCCAGAATAGCTGCTGCTTGCATAAGGCAACCTGATCTTTCATTCGAATATTTCAGGCGAACATAGTGCCTCAGATAGCTAAGGGGATGCTTTCAACTCGCGTGAAGTGGTAGCCAACTTCGTCTCGCGTTCTTTCGCTCCCGGGCTCGTCTCGAAACGACCACAAGCGCAAGTGAGGCCCGGACCGGGATAGCCCTGATTGCAAGCATCCAGCGACGATGGTGCCTCATGCAACCATGCTTTTGATGCGTGTCACTCGGCAACACGGTGATACTCGGTGCAGGACCTAGCCTTGCATGAACTCAGGACTGATGGAGGCGCTGCTTGTGCAGCTTCCTGCAAGGGCGAACTCATGCGAGCTGTGCGCCCGCTGCTGGGACGCTTATGGCCTCTGGCCCGAGCGGAAGTTTCCGACTCCTTGACCTGTCGACTGAAGCTGAAGGTAAAGCTGCAAGATACTGCAAAGCATCCAAGACTAAACGAGGCAAGGGCCGTGAGGATGGTCGTGATCCACCGGACGTAAATCCCTCCCCTGGCATCGGCCTCGAGGACCGCGAGTCAAGGTCACAAGGCCAAGACAGGTCTGCAACAAGTCCGAGAGCCCTCGCCTGGAAGCCCGAGCCTCGCGAGAGTCTTGATACCACGAAGCATAGACAAGCACAGTATGCACAGTTTTCCAGTGTTGGCATTGAAAGCCTCCATGTCTTCGCTCAGCTTCTTGGCACGTTCATTCTCCGCCTTGCAGACCGACCGGCAGGCTGATTTGGAGTACATGTGAGCGCCTAATTCAGGACGGGAAGGGGCCTGTATAGCATCGGCAATGGCTGATGCTGGACGAGAGCAAGATGAGGGCCTCGCAGTGGATTGCTCACAGATCACCGCAACACGTGATGCGAACCATGACATGTGAAACAAGCTTTGGAAGCTCATGGCGAATGTCCTGCTTCCTGTTAGGGGCTCGTTGGCCCGGGAAGAGCTCCTGCGCGCTTTGCCGAACCGCGAATCCACAAAAAGACTTGCTGGCACCTGCTCACAAGTGCGATATGGCGTCAGAGCTGCGTTGGGCCGGAGCTTTGAAGAGTTGGGTGCGACTTGGGATCCGGGAGACAGGTCTCACGAATCTGTTGCGACGCCTGCAAGACATGTCACCCAAACTACTTGCATACTTGGCAAGGACTCAAAGACTGAGCCGTACTCTCTGGAAGCGTACGACCGATGAGAGGCAACGGCATGTGGCAGCGTTTTGACCGTGTTCGGCTGCATCTCCCCAAGAAGCCACGAAATGCCCGGGGAGCCCTTGGAGCTTCTCAGTCCAAACGATCTTCGAAACACGATGCTTTAAACTTTGCATTTTTCAGATGGCCTCAGGTGGTCATGTGCTCTCATCTGGGGGCATGCCGGTGCACAACCCTGGGGCATCGTGTCACGGCGGGCCAGCAAGCCGACGATGCTTGCATGAATACAAGAGCACCCGTGCATACAAATCTTGCAAGCGGCTGCTCCTGCCCGATGTCGATGACCGAATCGGCTGCAACGGATGTCCGCTGCCAGTACTCGGAGCCTGCCACAAGTGATTTAGCAACCAAAATCGACATGGTCCAGCCTTCCCAGCGTGGGACCGGCAGAATCTAATCCGTCTTTTGAGCGCAGAGTCTTAGACTTGCACAATGCCGCTGCGTCACTGCATGGTAAATCACAGCATGTGAACGCCCACTTCGGGTTTCACATGTAAGATATGTAGCTGTACACTGCTCGAGCAGTTGTGCCGGAGCATAGGATTTGGAATGGTCTTGTCAGCAGGATTAAACATGTCAGTCGCTACGGAGCCTTCCTCATCTCATCTCTCGTGAAGTTTCTGCATGCTCAGGCCCGGTCCAAACCCACACGGTCATTCGCGGTCACACGTGCACACAGCACAGGGGCCGCCACGGCTCAGCCGCTGGCATCGCTATGGCATCGCTCCGGGAATTGGTGCTCCAGAACCTTGTGCAGGAGCTTAAGTCTGGTGCATGAGCCTGACGACGTTGACTACCAACGACAAGGACGACAACAATAGCAAGCCAAGCGACTACAGCTCGTCAGCAGCAGCAAGAGCAAGAGCAAGAGCAACAGCAGCGGCAACAGCAACA